GGATGGATGGATGGATGGATGGATGGATGGATGGATGGATGGATGGATGGATGATGGATGGATGGAATGAGTGAAATAAAAAAAAAATTCAATAAAAAATAACACAACATTTAAACAAATGATTTAAACAGCATAAAATGAAGTAAAATATATGAATTGCAAAAAATTAAATACATATTTGACATCAGTTTAGATTAGAAATAAACAAGCAGTTACAACAAACAGAAACCACAGTGTACGCGTTCCTTATCATTTCCTTTTCAACAGACTGTGCAATCTAAATAGCTTACAAAATAAAAAGCCGATCTAATAAACACACGGGAGCGAGACCATTTAAAAGTCCTTAAACAGGCATCAAAGCCAATTCTAAAATCTGCTGTCATCATTCTCCTCCAGATCGTAACAGAGATGGGAACCTGAAGCCTCCCTGGTGCTCTGCCACTAATTTAGTTGTGCATTTGGTAAAATCTTATAGAAGTAGATACAGACCAGTGTGTGAGACCCTGTGGTTCATGTGAGTGAGGTGTCAAAGGTCAGCAGACCCATGACGCCTGCTCTGACTAGGAGGACTACTTAGAGGCAGTACGCTGCACAAGAAAAAAGCTCCAAGTAATCGTAGAGAAGGGGAGACAGTTCAAAAGAGGTGTTTTCTAGTAGGAGTAGGAGTGTGAACTGTAACCTGTATGTTGGTTAATGTAACCCCTGGCCTTTGGAGGCGTTTGCCTGATCCTAGCGGCTGACAGCGGGGTGCGAGATCACGGAACGTGACGGGAGGAGGGCGCCTCTCGGTGGGGAGCCAAGGGTTGAACAAAGAAACACTGTAGAAGCCGGATTTCAGTGTTTGCTGTGAAACTGGTAATTGCTAGCAGTTTTTTTTTAATGTAGGTGTGTTTTTCTTTTTTGTATGAATGGCCTTTTTTCTTGGAATTGATCTACAGGGCTTGGAAAGATCCTTCTGTCATCTTAAACATGCTCATTTAGTGTCTATACCACAATAACAGTTTATTTTATAAGAATTTTCAAAATGCCTTTTCTATCAGGCTTTGACGTTTCGAGAGATCTCTGTACCAGCTTTGCACATCTAAAATGGCCATTTTTTATTTTATTTTATTTTATTTTGCAAGATAGCCAAAGCACGGTCTTGCTGGAGTTTATCCGCAAATGTTAATTTTTAAGTGTTTTCACAGCACATGGGATTAGATTTGGACTGTACCACTTTAATATGGTCTAAACTAGAAGCTCTCAGACCTCCTGGATTCCTTGTTAGGGTTAAAGGTCTCAATGAAGTTGTGATAAGCAAATTATTGTTTTAAACTTTTTGGCAACTTTAAAGCAAAAAAAATAAATAAACAAAAAGCACCTTCTCCCATTTTGTATACAGTCTGTGTATACAAAAAATACAATAAATTTTGTCTAAGTCTAGTCTAAAAATCTTTGTTTTTGGTTCAAAGATGCTATATTTATTTAAACAGTAGGTAATGAGATGAATAAGACTCTGTCAACTATTTACTTCCACACAAGATTACAGTAAATGAATAAACTGGAGACACTAGCAGAAACAACTGAACAAAAAATTATGATTACCCAAAGACAGTCACAGTTATTATACGAACATCCTTGTGTGGTAATCTTTTTTGAACTAAGTAAACCAAATCAGTTTTGAGTGCAGAATGCAGGACACAACCATCACACCAGATCCTCCAAATAGGGCTGCAGACTTCTGTAGCTCATTCGTTATCGTTGGCCTCTTTAAATAAGCATCTTTCCTGGCCTGAAACTTTGGGTCAAAGGTCATCCAGCCTGTGGCCTATAGTCCAATATGACACCTAACTTTAAAGTATTACATATAAAAGTACAAAAAAACAAACACTGGCAGTACATTTTCTTAATCTCTTTTTTTATATGTACCGGTATATAAGTTCCATATAAGACACTAAAGGCACAAAGTAGATATTACCATTACTAAATATGTGTTCCTCTTCTAAAGTCCTTACACTTGCTTCCTGTAATTCAAATAATATACTTTAAATACTTCTATTAGTTTATAAGTTGCTGAGCAGTTTTCCACTAGAATACATTAAAGACTTATCACCTTATCAACCTTACAGAATGCTAAGGGCTTCTGGTTACAGTCTACTTTGTATTCCCAGAAACAGAACCAAATATGAAGAAAACTGCAAAACACCCAAAACACCAAATTCCCTGAAATCAAGGCTTTAGACCCTGTCTGTTTAAAACTGCCTTCGATTATTATGATCCAAGAG